TTGGGTAATCTAATAATCATCCAGAGTTAATGGAGCTTTCTGATGTTTTGAAAGTTATGACAGCTTATCTAGATGTTAAGCCTTGCTTTTTCCCGAATCACGCCTATATCATCATTTATATCAACAGGGTGGGAGTTGTTTTATTATGCTATGGTTCTCTGAGTGGAATAGATTCATGATTATTGTTACATTGTCTGTTTGGTTCTTATTATTGTTATGATTTTATAGAGTTTAATCTGTGGAATTAAGCACAAGAAAATAAATCACGGCACAAGGAAAATGTCAAATGCAAGCAAACACTAAGTTTAACGTAATTTGTCAAATCGTGTCCATATCCACTGGGCAATTCAGATAGAAATAATCCATTATGAATTAAGGCTACAAATCCTCAAAGCTATGCCAGATTTGAGGATTTAATCATAAGAGAAAGCACAATGTTACCTTTAGAGAACCAAAACCCTAAAGTACGTCTCAACACAAATCCAAACACCCGAGAAGAAACCAACACCGTACTCTTAATGGCATCATCATTTTGGAGAAGATGGCGTTTGAATCACTGCAATCAGACAATCGAGTAATTCAAAATTAGATTTTTCTCTTATCAATTTTGCCTCTCCTCGAAAACAGGGCCCGATAATCATTCTCCATTTTTCGGCTCTGTAAAATGATTATAGAGTTCTCACAAATCAATTAGTTCCTTTTAATGAAGGAAAATTTCTAGCAGGTCCTGAAAACATTTTCCTACCAGTGCAACCATATAGGCCCGAATTTGAACTGGACCCTACAACAATCTCCATCTCTAGCTCAATGGATATGACTCCTCACTAAGAGTCCATGCTAGCCAATTGTCGATACAACTTAATCTTCTCTCTAGAAACGGTATTTGTCAAAAAAATCTATTGGATTCTCATCGGTATAAGTCTTATGTAGCTTCAACTCCTCTTTCTTAACAGTTTCTCTAGCCAATGATATCTTACATCAATATGTTTTGTCTTAGAGTGGAACATAGAGTTCTTGCTCAAATCTAGAGCACTTTGATTATCAATGAAAACATGTTTCTCGTCTTGCTGCAAGTCTACAGAAATCTTCTCAACCAGACTATCTCTTTACCAGCTTCTATAACTACAATATATTCCCTCTCTGTTGTAGACAAAACAACATACTTCTATAACGTAGATTGTCAAGATACAACTCTCCCTCCAAAAGTGAATAACTAATCTGAGATAGACTTCCTGTGATTGAGACCACCTACCATATTCACATTTGTAAAACCTTGCAGCACAAGCTTGAAACGTCCAAAATTCAAACATAGTCCAGAACTACCTATCAAATATTTCAAGATTCACTTAACACTTTTTCACTATAAATTTTCTGGATTAAAAGAAATATGCTCACAACGCCAATTGCATGACTTTTATCTGGCTGAGTGCAAACTGTAGCATACATCAAACTCCCTACTACTGAAGAGTAAGGAATATTCTCCATCTCACTCCTTTCTTTTGTCTATAGTCTGACATAACTTCTTACTAAGCTTTAAGTAGTTTGTAAGAGAAGTACCAACTGTCTTAGTAGTTTTATGTTGAATTTATCAAGCAAGTATTCAACATATTTCTTCTATGATAACTATTGCTTCCTGACTTTCCTGTCACAAGCAATCTCCATATCAGAAATCCACTATACCGAACAAAAAACCTTAATGTCAAAGAATTTAACTAACTCCTTGTTCAGCCCACTAATCATCTGACTATCCTCACCAACAATCAATATTTCATCCACATAAAGCAAAAAGATTGAAGCTAGAATTTAAAAATCTCTTGAAATATACACAAGAATATACAATTGTTCATTGATAGTCATGATTCAATATGAAACAATTAAATTACCTGTATCACTGCATGAGTGCCTACTTCAAAACATAAACACTCTTCTTTAATCTGCAAACCATATGTTCTTTTTCCTCCATGTATATCTCCTCCTTCAAATTATAATGTAATGCTGTAGGGTAGTAAAAGTTGATTCCTTCCGAAAAGGAGGAAGATTTGTATTGATAAGAATAGCTTATTACAAATCAAGAATTTAAAATTATAATAGAAGTGAAGAGAATACTCTTCTTGTTTAACGTGGGTTCTTCGGTAGCAATAGGATGCCTCCCTCGAATGCTTGCGTCAAGTTTGCTTCCCTTGGATAATCCGATCGAAATTGTGATTAAGCTTCAGTACGCAGTAGAATCTCTTGTGTGATTGAGTTTGATTATACCCGAGCTTGATGATCATCAAGGCCGAAAGCTTAGAGAGGCCTATAATGCAAGAGTTTGCAGAGAGCCAATGAGTCTCAAATCTGAGAGTTCAGATTGAGTCTACTTCAACAATCCAAGCAAAGAGCTAGGAAGGTTCTACCAAGCAAGCTATAAAGATCTTTGTTTGAAGAGCCTTGAGGGAGCTAATTAGCTAGTCTCCAAAAAGAAGAAGCCAAGAGCCTTAAGAGAAAGTCTCCAAATGATCCAGCCTCTGGTTGAAGAGTCTTGACAATGTCAAGCTTCTCAACAAAATTGTTAGCTGAACCCCTTTCACGTTAGTAAAGGGGTCTTATAAATAGGTAAGGGCTGGCATGGGCCATTCATTGATTTGTGGGATGTGACCACTAATAGGAGTAAGTGAAAACACCCTAATTCTACTAGGAAAGAACCCTAGAGGGGGTGAATAGGGTTTATGCTAATCTAATTTGATTTTATACCAATTAAAACTAATTAACAAATATATCCTAGCAAATGAGATATGAATAATATATGTGCAAGGATATACAAGTAACATAAGGGTCAACAAACTACTAAAGTGATAGGGTAATATAAACAACAAGCAATTTGCAAAGGCGATATAAATGATAAGCACAAATATAAAGGAACGCCAATGACAAACGCAAACAAATGATATAATCACAGAGTTCGGTCCCTACAACCTACGTCTCCGCTCCTCACCTCGAGGAGATCTTCACTATCACAATCGAGTTTTCTACGCTCACCCGAATAACGTTTACACCTCACACTCGGTTTTCTAGCTCATCAAAAACTTTATAATTACTCACAATGTAAATACACTAACTACCACCTCAAGTGTTGGTTTCTAGCCCGTATTTCCCTCAAGTATTAGAAATTACAACCTCTCTCTAGGCATTACCACCTAGCCCACTCCTCTTGGAACGATCCCATATCTCACCACACACTCCTCTTGGTGTACTAGTATATTACAAAGTGTATCTCATAATTAAGCTCAAAAATCAAATGATTGTTCTCTTAAACAATGTGAGAACTCAATTAAGCACAACTTAAAGTTACAATCCCTCACAACCCAAATATATGGGTGTGTATAACGATGAAATTCAATAAATCAAAATCAAACTAAACTCAATATAAACTATAGCTTAGAAAAATAATAATCAAACAATTATATATAAATACAAAGCTAGATTGAGTTTAGAAAACTTCTCTAATAAATGACAAGAGAGAGAGAGAGAGAAGAGTTGAAGCTCAAATAGCAAGGATAATCTCCTCTAGCTCTTATGAAATTCTCTTTACAAACCGAAACTCTAAAATACTTAAAAGCTTCTTAAACAAACTTAAACAAACTTAAACAAACTTTTAAATCCTTGTTAAACTTTCTTAAACCATTATCTTGAGTAAATAAAACTGAGGATATGTGGGGGTATTTATAGGAACCCCAAAGCCAAGAGAAAATAAGGCAAAAATACTAAAAAACTAAAACTAGAACAGGCTGGAAAAAACTAACCGTTACAGCATCAGTCGACTGACGGCTTTCATCAGTCGACTGATGAGCTGACCGTTAGAGACATTTTCCAGCTCATCAGTCGACTGACGACCTTATCAGTCGACTAATGACCTCATCAGTCGACTGGTCAATTGACTAAAATAAAACAAAACTTTTTGTTATTTCAGGTGATTTCTTCAATCGACTAAACACATTCATCAGTTGACTGATAACATTGTATCAGCCTGATTGAAACAGAAAATCTGATTTTTGAAGTATCTTTAAAAATAGCAAATAAACTTCAAAAATTATAAAACTTTAGGAAATCATTATAAATATGTAAATGAACATGTTACAAAAAGAATTTTTGAAATTGTACTTCACATTTGTGAAAACTTATCATTTTTCAAAACTAGTCCAAAACATGAAAATATGAAACACATGTTTTTGATATTTTAGCTAAATCATGTTTTGAAACTTTATAAACTGATTTTATAGACTTGATAAAAGATACAACCTATTGTTGTTAAGTCTATAAGCCAAAAACTCAATATTATGCAAAAATGAAGTTTTGCACAATATGCATTTTATAAAATGATAAATATGAAACATAAAAGTGCATATGAATATAACTATTGTTTCATATCTACAAAGCTAAACCAAAACGAAACAATAAATATGAAATATGTACTTTCATATTTATATAAACAGGAAAACCAAAACATGTATGTATATATATAAATATATATATATACA